CGCTCGGCCTGGCGGCGGGCTGGCGCGGCCGCGGGGCGCTGGGCGCAGGGGGCGGGGGCTTCGGCGAGGTCTTCTGGGCTTCAGCGAGGCTTCATAGCCAAGCTCCAGCGAGGTTTCAGCTGGGAAGCAAAGGCTCCAGAAGTGGCGGGGGCTCTTGCGAGGCCGCTCAGGCGGAAGGTGGAGGAGGCCCGCCGGCGAGGCCGGTCACGTGGGCCCCCGTGGGGTCTGGGGAAGGCAGGCGCGAGGCCCAGGAGAGCGTCTCGCTGGCGGATCCCCCGCGCCGCTCCCCACTAGGAGCCCCAGTCGGGGGGCTATAGCTGGTGCCCGACTACCCTCGACACAGTCAACTTCATGCATGCGTTGCACAATGTACTGGGTACATCTGTATGTGTTCATACATATATACTGAATTTTTATGCTCTGGGCACAGTCACGCAGGCTCTGACGCCACAGGGAAGATCCCCGGAATGCCAGGAAACGTGCGAAGGTAAAGAGAGGGATCGACAGAGAGCGAGCGAGAGAGAGAGAGAGAGGAGCACGAGACAGAAAGAGAGAGAGAGAAGGGCACAGAAGCAAGAGACAGAGAGAGGAAGAGAGGAAGAGAGAGAGAGAGAGAGAGAAAAAGGGAGATAGAGAGAAAGAGAAAGAGAAATAGAGAGAGAGAGAGAGCGAGACATATTGACGCATGGGACACCCGCGCAGAAGAGATCCCCCCCCATCTGGGCTTGCCCCCCCGACCATCCGTCGACCCCCCGCTGAGGGGAACGTTGAGGGGGGGGAGACTGGCTCAGGGGGGGGGGACACCGACCCGGAAGCGGAGATGCGGCGCCGACGGCTAGACGTAGGCCTCCGACAGCGGGACCGCGCGCTCTTGAGGCGGGGTATGAGCCAACGAGGGCTCGCTCGGCGATGCGTGGGCGATGGGAGGTCGATGCGTCCCCCCCCCCGATCCCGTCGCCCCCTCCGCGTTGCCCCAGAGCCTGGTCAGGCCCCCCCTTTCCACCCCCAGGAGCCTCCCTCGACCCCCCGATGATGTACGGATTCTCCACCACCGCTGCCGCAGGTAGGAGAGGGAGGAGAGGGAGGAGGAGGAGGAGGAGGAGGAGGAGGAGGAGGAGGAGGAGGAGGAGGAGGAGGAGGAGGAGGGGGAGGGAGGAGGAGGAGGAGGAGGAAGGAGGAGGAGGAGGGAGGAGGAGGAGGAGGAATAGGAAGGAGGAGGAAGATAACCTCTCCATCCTACCTGCTGGGATGGGCGCGGGGGTTGGTCAGGGGATGGGGGGGTGATCAGTGGATACCAAGGTGGGTTATATCTGGCCTAACCTGGCTCACTAGTGGGTTGCTAATACCCCGAGTGGCTTGGGGAGGCAGCGGTCCAGGCCAAGTGGGCGCCGCCCAGCTAGCGGAGTTGTCGATTCCCCCTGAGCCACTTGGGGCATGTGCAGCCCACTCAAAGCTAGGTGAGGCCAGGTACGACCCATTTCGCGTCCAGCAATCTCCTTCCTATCCTCTTAGCAACCCCCATGCCCACTCAAGTGGACCATCGGCCCATTACCCGAGGCTTTGTGGCGGCAGGGAGGCGCTGGGCCGCACGGGCGGAACGCAGATGCGGGGCAGGCGGGCCGCGCGGGCCGAGGCGGCCGAGCACGACCCCTCGGCCTGGCGGCGCGCCCCCGGCGCGGCCGCTCGGCGCTGGCGGGGGGGAGAGGCGGTGGGGGAGCCTCCAGGGGGCCTCCTGGAGGGAGGAGGCGGAGGGAGGAGGAGGAGGAGGAGGAGGAGGAGGAGTACAGGAGGAGGAGGAGGAGGAGGAGGCGGAGGAGGAGGAGGGAGGAGAGGAGGAGGAGGAGAGGAGGAGGTGGAGGAGGAGGAGGAGGAGGGAGGAGGATGGAGGAGAGGAGGGAGGGAGAGAGGGGAGGAAGAGGGAGAGCGGAGGCGGAGGCGGAGGCGGAGCGCAAGCGGAGGCGGAGGCGGGGATGATTGATGATGATGATGATGATGTGATGTGATGATGATGATGATGATGACGATGATGATGATGATGATGATGTGATGATGATGATGATGATGATGCTGATGATGATGATGATGACGATGATGATGATGATGATGATGATGCTGATGATGACGATGATGATGAATGGTGATGATGATGATGATGATAGGAGGATGATGATTGTGATGATGATGATGTGATGATGATGAAGAGGAGGAGGAGGAGGAGGAGAAGGAGAGGAGGAGGGGAGGAGGAGGGAGGAGGAGGAGGGAGGAGGAGGTGGAGGCGGGGGAGGCGGAGGCGGAGGCGGAGGCGGAGGCGGAGGAAGATGATGATGATGATGAGGAGGAGGCGGTGCCTCAAATGTCTTCAGAAGCCAGGGGCCTCCAGCAGGAGGAGGAGGAGGAGGAGGGAAGATAAGGATGAGGAGGAGGAGGAGGAGGAGGAGGAGGAGGAGGAGGAGGAGTGGGAGGAAGGAAGAGGCAGCATATGGGAGGCAGACTTCCAAGCAGATGAAAAGCAGATGAAGCTGCCTGGGCCTGAGCAGCGCGCTCCGTGGCCTCCCGGCTCGGAGGGCAGGCCCCCCGAAGCACGGAAGCTCTCTGGGCCCTCCTGGGCCTCTGCTCGGCTCCCCGCTCTGCCCGGGTGGGCGGTGAGCGAGGTGCACTTTTTTACCAGCCGAGAGGAGCCCAGGAGGGCGAGAGAGAGAGAGAGAGAGAAAGAGAGACGACGACGACGAGGGACGACACGACAGCGGCGCGCGGAGGCGGGGGGGGAGGGGAAGGGGGAAGGGAGGCCCGCGGGGGGGCGCCCGCGCCCGGCGCAGCCCCCCTGAGCCGGGGCCCCGCATGAGATGCAGTCGACCCGTATCATCAGGATGCGCGATGAGGATGCGGGGGCCAATGAAGGCCGCGTCACACGTCGAAGCTTCTCGCGCGAGCTTGGGCAACGGAAGTGGTCAAGGATGGACCGAGGAGGCAAGTATTCACTTGGGAAGGTTGCCCATCCTTGCCATGCGGTTCGACTGTAGAATTGTTCAACCAGCGCGTTGGGCGTCATCGAGTGGCTTCTAACACGAGCTCCTCCAAATGATTTTCCTTCTCCCCGAAGGATCCGTCTTGGCAGAACAACTCCTCCAAGGTGGCCAGGTTTTTCACGATGGCCTCCAGCATGCCTCCATGAGACCCCCCCGCACCACCACATGACAGCCTGAGGTAGCCAAGAAGTCACCCAAGAATCCTTCCGAGAGGCCCAAAAACATGTTTCATGCATGCGTGCGTATACCATGGGTTGTTCGAAGATGTTAGGCTCATGCCATCTCGCGTTTGGAAAGCTTCACAGGCGCGAAGATGGCACCAGGATGGCGCGGAAGGGTCCCGGGAGGGAACCAGAGAGGGCCCCAAGAGGGCCCTGAAGGCCCTCGACGGCGGACGCCACATGGAGGCGGAGGTCGAATCGATGACTGTCCCTTTTTGTCGATGGCCTCCTGCCTGGCCACGTGTGCAAGAAAGACGAAGCCAGGACGAAGATAAATTCGAGTGAGGACAAGTCGGGGATCTCCGAGATTTGGCCAGCTCTGGAGGATGTCTCGGACGTCGCGGCCCTCTCAGAGCGTTCCGGAGACGCCCTGAGAGCGTTCCAGGAAAACGGCATAAAGAGAAACCTTTGGTGCTCCGCGCGGATTTCTTCGATCCACGCTGGAACCCCTCCCTGGTGCGCGGAGCGCGCCAGGGGCGGCGCCAGAGGCGCCGCCAGGGGCGATCGAGCCAGGATGCAAGAAACCTGCGCGGAGCGCCAAAAGTTATGTTTCTGGCGTTTCTTCGTCTTCTTCTTCTTCTTCGACCAGAGGCGCAGCACACCGGACGCGCGGCAGAGAGAGGCCCGGGCGCCTGCCGAAGGAATAGGTGCAACAAAGAGCCGGGCGCGCCGCGAGCGGGCAGCAAAGGGGCGGCCAACAGGGGCCGCAACGGACCCCGGGGGGGCCCTGCGAGGGCCCCAAAGGGCTTCTCCTCCTCCTCCCTACACCTCAAAATACCCACCTCCAGACCCAGACTCCTCCCCTCCTCCTCTTCCTCCTCGCCCCCCTCTCTCCTCCTCCTCTCCTCCTACCTCCTCTCTCCTCCCTCCTCATCCTCCTCCTCCTCCTCCTCCCCCTCCTCTCCTCCCCTCTCCTCTCCTCTCCTCCTCCTCCTCCTCCTCCTCCTCCTCCTCATCCTCCTCCTCCTCCTCCTCCTCCTCTCCTGCTCCTCCCCTCCCCTCCCCCCTTCCTCCTCCTCTCCTCCTCCTCCTCCTCTCCTCTCCTACTCTCTCCTCCCTCTCTCCTCTCCCTCTCCTCGCTCCTCCTCCTCTCCTCTCCTCCTCCTCCTCCTCCTCCTCCTCCTCCCCTCCTCCTCATCCTCCTCCTCCACCTCCTCCTCCTCCTCCTCCTCCTCTTCTCTCTCCTCCTCCTCCTCCTCCTCCTCCTCCTCCTCCCTCCTCCCCCTCCCCTCTTCACCATCCTCTCATCCTCCCAGCTCATCCTCCTCCTCACTCCTCTCCTCCTACCTCCTCTCCTCTCCTCCTCCTCCTCCTCCTCTCCTTCCTCTCCTCATCCCCTCCTCCTCCTCCTCCACCTCCTCCTCCTCCTCCCCATCTTCCTCCTCCACCTCCTCCTCCTCCCCCTCTTCCTCCTCCACCTCCTCCTCCTCCTCATCTTCCTCCCTGCTGTTCTCGGAAGCCCCGCCGCAAGAGCCCCGAGGGTGGTGGAAAATGACCACATGGGGCCCACAATTGGACCAGTGCCGGGGGCTCTGGGGCTCTGCGGCGGTCTTCAGCTGGAGGAGCCACTGCGTGCGTTGCACAGCCGAATGGAAAACCCAAGTGAGGTGCTCTGAGACTGGAGGGGCGTCGACGCCGAAGCGAAGGGCAGCGGGTGAGTGCGATGGAGCTCTCCCCATTCTGAGTCCGTCCCTCCCCAGCGCGCTCACGCCCAGAGTGCCACCCACCCCCGCGGCAGGCTGCGGCGCAATGCCTTCTTCTCCTTGGCTTTGTCCCTGTCACGGTCCCTGTCCTTGTCTTTGTCCTTATCCTTTTCTTTGTCCTTTTCCTTCTCTTTCTCCTTCTCTTTCTCCTTCTCTTTCTCTTTCTCTTTGTCGTCATCCTTGTCTTTCTCCTCCTCGTCGTCCTTCGGCTTGGTGGGCCTCTTCACCGATGGCGATCCACGGATGCGTCTAGAAGGTGACCTGGCGTCAGGGTTTAGGTATTCGACAAGCAAGCCGCTGTCTCTTTCTCTCGCTCTCTCTCTCTCTCTCTCTCTGGATTGCTCTCTCTCTTTCTTTCTCCCATTATCTTTCTTACTCTCTATCTCTCACGTTTTATGTAAGGTTTATGTGTACAAACATGTATATACATATATATATATATATATATATGTACATTTCGTGTTCTCTCTCTCTCTCTTTCTCTCTTTCCCGATCATCCTTGTCACCCTCCAACTCCGCATGTACGGTGTTTATCTCGTAACTCCCATATGATTCTCTCCCTCTCTCTCTCTCTAGGTGTGGACCTACTCCTCTTCCTATATTTTTATAAGCCCGGGCGGCGGGGCCCCATCCCCCCCAAAACCGGACTCCCGGGACCTGGGGACTTGGGACCCTCCGGACGGGCCTCGAAGCGGCCCCCCGGGCCTCGCAGGGCGATTTGCCAAGCCTTCCCAGCACACCTAGGGCGATCAGGGGGGTCATCGGAGACGTCCCAGAGACCTCCAAGACAACACAAGAGCGCTCCAAGAGTGACCCACGTGACCTCAAGATGGCCCAAGAGGCCTCCAGGACGGCACCAAAGGCTTCAAAAAGCCTCCAAGAGCACTCCCAAGAAGGCCCCAAGAGGCAAACATCATTGATTTCTTGTGGGTTTTTGGTGAATTTGGAGGTTTTCCTCTTTGCGGCTTCCCGACGCTCCAACGGCAGTCTTCTGGGCGTCCGAAGCCGCCTGGGAGGCTCCGAAATCGCCCCACAACCATCCGAAAGGGCTTCCAGGCAGTCCAAGAGAGCCCCAAAACGGCACAACAGGGGTCAAAGATGGCCCTAAGAGAGCCCCATGGCGGCCCAAAGACGGCCCCAAGACACCCTCCGAAGCATTCCAAATCGTGACCCGGTCGTTCAGGGAGACCGCGGTTGGAGGCAGGGTGGCCCGAGGAAGTCCCCAGAGGCCCCCAGAATACGCCCAGGAGGCCTCCAGAAGGCCTTAAGAAAGCCTGAAACAACTTTTGTGAGGCTCCCAGAGGCTCTCCAAGGAGGAGCCTCCGCAAAAAAGAGCTGAGGAGGATGGGGAGAGTGCGCAGGGTATGGCGAAACTGAAGGAAGAAGCAGGAATAAGGATAACGAATCACATTGCCATAACCGGAAATGCCAGAAAAAGGCAACAAGGAATTATCGCTAAAGTGTCGGCTTGACCTTCCTGGTATTCCGCCTGCATACCAAACTTCAAAGACCAAGGTGCATGGCGCGAAGCGCCACTGTAGTCTTGCATATAGACATATAGACATGTCAGCACACTGCAATTCACGCATGTCCATGTACATAACAAAGAATGTATCGAGATGTGCGTGTGTACATGTATCCCCGCCGCTCTCTTTCCTCTCATCGGCGGCTCGCTCCAGCGCTTTGGGTAGCGCCAGGTCATTCTACCTACCAGTGCAAAAACATAGTTCTGACTGTGTGGGTGAGCCCAAACGCTGGCTGGAAGTACCATTGCCCCTAATCGCGCGAACCAAGTGTCTACCTGCCTACCTGTGTCTCTCCTGTTCTAAGCTGTATGGTTCCCACTTGATCAACAGACCTCACTGCAAACGGGGTTTCGTTTTTGACGGGGAGCAGGCATTAAAGGGAAAGGGAGGCCCCTTTCGTAGAGGCCTCCGGAATGAGGTCCGAGTAGATGGGGCCGGAAGATAGCGACGCATCGCCGATGAATCGCCGATGCCCCGACGACGCATCGGCGTCGCTGGCGTGGAGAGAATCGGGGTCCACATCGAGCTGCACCGACGATGCAACGGCGATGTGGCGCGCTCCTGCGACCCCACCTTCTCGGACCCGTTGATCTGGGAGGCCTAGACTATGATGAGAGAGGTAAGCGCCACTCGAACCCAGAGAGCGGGGGGAGGGGGGTAAGCTCAGGGGAGACGGCATGATTTGAACATGGACCGACCGTCCCCGCATTCCTATAGGCCTCATTACCACGAAATGGTTTCAGAACCCAGACATGTTCTAAGAACGAAAACAGTGTGCTTAGACCAGAAGCCCGATGTGTTGAAACAAGAAAGTCTCAGCCAGAAATGCTCTAAGAACATGTCGTGCAGACCACAACACGTTCTCAGAACATTCTCTGGTTGGCCAATAGACGAGCCGGGACGCTTCGCCACTGCTTGAATGCGGGATGCCCTCTGAGCCACGCCCGACGCTCCCCCTCGCCTAGCCCACGCCCCTGGCGACCCCGCCACCCTCCAATACTCTGGACAGCTGGCCAGCCTAGAACGTATCCCGACCCCGACGATCGGCAAGCTCAAAGGCGATGCCAACCTTAGGAATGTGCACTCAGAAACTGGGGGACTCCTTAAGATCGGCAACGACACCAGGTGATGCCAGTCACAGGGATAGGGATATCAGGGGAACGGACAATGTTATAAACACAAAAACTCGGAGGTCCGCGCGGATTTTTCGAATCGGCGCTGGAGCCCCCTGGCGGCGCCTCCGGCGCCGCCCCTGGCGCGCCAGGGAGGGGGGCTTCCAGCGCCGATCCGAGAAATCAACGCGGACCTCCGAGTTTCTCATGTTTGTGTCATCCTTCGCTCCCCTATTAAGATCGGCATCGAGACCAGGTGATGCCAGTTACAGGGATAGGAACATTTTTCAAGCTAGTACGGCAGGTTCGCGTCGTGTCGATCCCGGCGTTGGTTCCTGACTCCGCGGGGATCGTTCAAACTTGAACGATCGGCCCTTTCGAAAAGGCCGGATCGTTCAAGGATCGGCCGATTCTGGGCCACAGGCGGCGTTCAACCTTACACTCCCGCGCTGGGGTCGCCGCCAGTCGACACGATGCGAATCTGCCGCAACCCACTCCCTCGTTTTCTGTACACCGGCCGCCAGCCCCACATCGCAAGAGACCGCCCCACGCCCGCGCCCGACGCCCAGTCGGCGGTGGTCGAAACTCCCTGCGGGGCGCCAGGCATGTTCACTGCGCCGACCTTGAAGACGTGCTGCAGCGGACTTTTTGAGCGGAGTTTTTTGGTCTTCATACCTGGCCACAACAAAAACGAACGAATAACACTTCGAGGTCTGGGACGAAACTCTCCAGGACACTCCGGGCCCATCCTATCGTTTTCCGAACGAAATCCGCTCTGCGATGTTGGCGCCATGAGCTCGTGAAGGGTGTGTGCCACAGCTGGCGCTGCCTGCGCATGTGAGCGCGCACGCCATGACCGAAGCCGGGCCCCCTTCCATGGGGCGCGAAGCGCGTGAGGTAAGAGGAAGCCAGGGCAAGAATCACATCGGGCGAGGATGTATCGAGAACCTCTGAGATCTGGCGGCCCTGGAGGCTGTATCGAGCGCCGCAGCAATCCCAGAGCGTCCCAAAACGCTCTGAAAGCGTTCTGGAACGCTCTGGAACGGATTGATCCTCGTCCTGAACAGGGGATATGTCGACACCTATCTCAGGCTTCGTGGGGTCTTCGAATGGACCAACACTTTGGGGCCCAGCCCTGGGATCGGAGAATGCGGGGTGAGATCGCAAAGGAACGGAAAGCCCCCCACCAGGAAATCGGTTTCGGTTTCGTGTTCATGTCGTGTGTGCGGGCGAGGCGACGCTGCGTGGGCGCGCGAGAAGGATAATGCCGCCGTGGCTAGGGCTCTGGAGTCGGTTGTCCGCCCCTCCCCCCCCCCGGCGCGTGGTGGCCAGGGGTGTCCCGCCTGTGGCCCGGCGGTGTCCCGTCGGAGTCCCGTCGGCGTCCCGTGTCCCGAAGCAGGGCGGCGCGAGGCAGTGTCCCGGAGCAGGGCGGCGAGATCGATAGCGAGATCGCTTGGGAGATCGATGGTGAGATCATTTGTGAGATCGACACTGAGATCTGTTGTGAGATGGATGGTGAGATCGCTTGTGAGATCGCTGGTGCGATCTGTTGTGGGATCGCTTATGAGATCGATGGTGAGATTTGTTGCGAGATCGATCGTGAGATCTGTTGAGGGATCGATGGTGAAATCGTTTGTGATCTCTATAATGCGATCGCCAAAGAGATCGAGGTCCGGCCGTGGCCTGGGTGTCCCGCCGTGTCCCGTGTCCCGTGTCCCGTCGGTGTCACGTCGCGGTGGGCGGGCGGCGGCCAATTTGTCCCGCCGTGGTGTCCCGTGGGTGTCCCGTCGGTGTCCCGTGGGTGTCCCGTCGGTGTTCCGTTGGTGTCCCGTCGGTTTCCCGTCGGTGTCCCATCGGCGTGTCGTCGGTGTCCCGTCGGTGTTCCGTGGTAAGGTCGATCGTGGGAGCGATAACGAGATCGATAGCGAAACCGATTGGTGTTCCGATGGTCTCCCGTGGTGTCCCGTCGGTGTCCCGTCGGTGTCCCGTCGGTGTCCCGTGGGTGTCCCGTCGGTGTCCTGCGGTGTCTCCTGGTGAGATCCATGGTGAAATGGGTAGTGAGACCGATCGTGACACCGATAGTCGGATCCATCGATTAGTGGGATTGGCCATGATGTTTATAATGAAACCGATCGATGGCTAAGTCGATCGAGTGGGGTCGATAGAGGGGTCACATCGCGACGCAGCATCGTCACCACGCGTCGTCGCCAACTCGAGGACACACCTTCAGCAACGTTATCATCGCAGCCATCGCATTTGTCGTCAATTGGTCTTTCCCCCAAAACGTCCATATCACCCAAAGGATGGTCGTATAGGCATACGATGAAGGGCGTCCATCCTCGACAGGGGTGCGTCCGAATGGCCCCATTGGGGTGTATCCCGAGGCCTCCCTACTTTTCTGAGCGGCTTCATTTCTCGTCGAAGCGTCAGGCCTTGGTGAAGAAAACTCGCCAACGAGTCCCAGCCCCGCCCGTTGGGAAACCAAAAGGTACCGATACCGCTACTCTCCGGACCTCTCGGGGTGCGTTCTGGCCAGAATTTCGAAGCGAATCCAGCGGTGGCGACGAGGGCCTCCCAGGAAGCCTAAACAAACGGGAAAAACGGGGCAGGTGTAGCGGTATGGGTACCTTTTTCCTCCTCTGAGTCCGGACGAAGTGCGAGAGGTTGTGTCGAGACGGAGATGTCCAGTGCGCATGCTGTGCGTGCGAACGCACCAACAAGGAGGATCGGATAGGAGGAGGAGGAGGAGGAGGAGGAGGAGGAGGAGGAGGAGGAGGAGGAGGAGGAGGAGGCAGAGGAGGGGAGGCGGAAGAGGGACAGGGGGAGGAGGAGGATAGGAGGAGGGGAAGTAGGAGGACAAGGAGGAGGAGGAGGAGGACGAGGAGGAGGAGCAGGAGGAGGAATGGATGGATGGATGGATGGATGGATGGATGGATGGATGGATGGATGGATGGATGGATGGATGGATGGATGGATGGATGGATGGATGGATGGATTGGCGGAGGAATGGATGGATGGATGGATGGATGGATGGATGGATGGATGGATGGATGGATGGATGGATGGATGGATGGATGGATGGATGAATGGATGGAGCATCATCAAAGAGGCCCTGGTGACCGTCTGCACGCAGACGACCGCAAGGGCCGCAGATGTCAAGGGCCCGCGCCGCCCCGAGCACGCCGCGCGGGCGCCGTGGCGACGAGGGAAGGGCCCCGAAGCAGCCCAGACATGCATCCGTCCGACCCTGGCCTCTCCCGCGGACGAGCCAGGGAGGCGGGAGCCGGGGACAGAGCGGGCAAACCCTGCATCCGCCAGCGCCCGCCCCCACACCCCGCAAGGGGGAACGGGAACGCACGGGGCAAGCCCGACCGAGGCGGCGGCCCCCCGAATCCACGCCGAGGCGCGCCCCGCCAGACTTCGAGGCGGGTCGAGCAGGACGGAGCGAGGGCCAGCCCAAACTCCGAAGGCCGCGCGGGCGTCATCTACGAACGCCTTGACTGCGGCCATCGGCGCGTCCGCGATGCCGCCGATCTCGCCAGCGGAGTCCATCGCGACCACGCCGCCCTCCAGCTCGGCGGCAACACGCTAGCCCAGCAGCCGCAGCAAGTCGTCAACCTCGCTTGCGCCCAGGGGCTCAGCGACGCGCCCCGCCGCAGATCCCCCCGCAGGAGCCCTCGCCGTCGAACGCCGCCGCTGACTGGACCGAGCAGTCCAGCCCCACGTCAGCCTCGACAACCTCCGAGACTCCGCCCACAATCGCGTCGCACTTCGTCGGCGGCACGGCCGCCGCCGGATCGGACACCGCCCCGATCGCGTCGGAGAAAGCCTCGACGTCGAAACCATCCTCGCAGGTGGCCTCGGACGCCCCGCACTCGTCGCCGGCGACGTGCAGGCGCGGCTGCAGCTCCACGCGCGAGCGCCTCGAGCAGCAAACCGGGCTGCTGCGGGTCCTGCCAGAGGCCGGGCGCCCACGCCACGCCCGAAGGCCCGCCCTGGCGCTCTGCCAGGCTTCAGCCCGCAGCCAGGCCATGCCCGAAAGCCTGGGCCCGGCTCTCCGCGACGGGGCCGCACCCCTTCTGCGCAGGCGGGGGGAGCCCTCCGGAGCGGCACCGAAGCGCGGCCCGCGGTGGGCCGCACGGAGCGCCTGCGCGTCGGCGCCGTCCAGCTGCGCCCCAAGCGCGGCTGCATGGAGGGCGGCGTTGCGCCGCAGCCTCTGGAGCCACGTGGGCGCGCGGCCCTCCACCAGCGCGGCGAGGGCTGGAAGAAGGCAGCGGACGCGGGCGGCCACCTCGCCGTCGCCGACGATGACCAGGAGGGCCTCCTCCGCGTCCTTCCGTTGGCGTATGGCGGCCGCCAGCTGCAGCTGCAGCCGCGCGACGAGGCGGTCCGCAGACGCTCGGGCACCAGCAGCACCGCGCAGCACCGCCGCCGAGCCCGATCCCGCAGCCATCACTCCGTGAGCCAAGAGCCCTTCCCCCCCAGGGCCCCAACGCCCGCCCCGAATGGGGGCACGTCGAGGGGACAAGGTCCAGGAGCAGGGGGCCTACGCAACTGGCCTTGAGCCAAAATGGCTACGGAGGAGGAGGAGGAGGAGGAGGAGGAGGAGGAGGAGGGGGAGGAGCTCCGCAGCACGACCAGGCGCGCGAGGGGGCGCGTCTTGTTCGCGCGCGAGGGGCCGCGTCTTGCTCTCGGACTGTGGGCGATCCCAGTCGGTGCCGCCTTGAGTCGCGAGCCCGACGGAGTGGGGGGGATGTGGGTCGCCAGATGCGCTCGGAGGACGTCGGGGCTGTCGTAGTGCAACTGGCGTGCGGCTTGGTCAGATCACTCCATCAGGGGGCACTGTGTGCTGACAGACGGTGCCCATGAAATGTGTGCCGGGTCATTCGAGGGCGACATCTGTTTGAAAGCCACGCTCTGCTCAACTGCCTCCTGGTGTGGTCGATGCAAGTAAAAACAGCGCCACAGGAAATGCACTTGCTATCCACGTATTTGTGATAGGATAGGTGGTGCACCGTGCCCTGGAAGTGTCGTCGCATTGATCTGGTGTCTCACCAGATACCGCAGCGTCGCAAGCCCAGCCCTGCACCCCCCCAGCCCACACGCCAAAGGGTGAAACGCCTCTTCTCCACTGTCTGTCTCTCCAAGGGGGGAGTCGTCGGGAAGCTGCTCGCGGCAATGCCCTTGAGGAGCCCACTCCTGTCCCCGCACCGTCGAAGTACGAGAAGGAGGAGGAGGACGAGGAAGAGAGAGGAGGAGGAGGACGAGGAGGAGAAGGAGGGGGAGGAGGAGGAACAGGAGAAGGACGAGGAGGTGGAGGAGGAGGAGGAGGACGAGGAGGAGGAGGACGAGGAGGAGGAGGAGGACGAGGAGGAGGAGGACGAGGAGGAGAAGGACGAGGAGGAGGAGGAGGAGGAGAGGAGGAGGAGGAGGAGGAGGAGCAGGAGGAGGACGAGGAGGAGGAGCAGGAGTCAAGGAGGGTAGGCTGTCCGGAAACGCAATGCACCCCGCGCGTTGTCGTGCGCCGCGCCCCTCCCCGGCCGGCCCGGGGGGGGGGGCCTGCGCCTCCTGCTGGGCGACCTGCGCCTCCTGCTGGGAGACCGGCGCCGCCTCGCGCCGCGGCGAGGGGGGGAGTCTCGCTCACGGGGGTCCCCTCCTCTGCCCTGCCCTGCCCTTCCCTTGTCCTCCTCCTCCTCATCCTCCTCATCCTCCTCCTCCTCCTCTTCCTTCTCCTCCTCCTCCTGCGTCTTCCCCCACCCCAGCCTCATCCCCCTTCCCCCACCTTCCCCCCCTCGCCTGCTCCCCTCCTCCTCCCCATGCCTCCCCCTTCCCGCCCCCTCCCTCCCTCTTCCCCCGCCTTCCTCCTCCCCTCCTACCCTCCCTCGCTCCTCCCTCCTCCCTCAGGCGTGGCTCGAGCGGCGCCCCGCGGCGAGGGAGGCGACAGTGAAGGCTTTCAGGAACGCGCAAGTGAATAGGCACGAAGCACGCGATCCCTTCTATGCTCCATCGTTTCTGGATGTTCGTCTCCCCCTCCACTTCCCATAGTTTTCATACGTTCCTGGGAGGCTATCGAATTCGTTGTCTCTGTTGTCGGGCTTGTTTTCCACCACCACCATAAGTTGGAGGGGGGAAGGAGGAGGACAAGGGTGAGGAGGAGGACGAGGAGGAGGAGGACGAAGAGGAGGGGGAGGACGAGGAGGAGGAGGAGGAGGAGGAGCAGGAGGAGGAGGACCCCCTCCCCCTCCAACTTATGGTGGTGGTGGTGGAAAACAGGCCCATCATCTGTGCGTCCTTCCCTCCCGAGAGAGGTGGGGAGCGAGAGAGCCTCCGAGCGGGCCAGCGGGCCAGCGGGGGATGCGCGAGGGGGCCGCGATTGCCGGGCGCACGACGGCAGTCTTGCACGCGCTGGCTTTACTGGGACGCACAAGGGCATACTAATATAAGTCGGGCCTGTCCCCCTACATGATGATTTCCGACGAACAATCAAACATACTCAAACAACACTCCAAAGTGGTATTTTAAAACATGCTCCAAAAACAGTCCCCATACTATTTTGGTTACTTTTCGAGAAAAGGAGGACGAGGAGGACGGGGAGAAGGAACGAGGACCGCGAGGCGCGAATAACTTCGCGCCCTCGTGGGCGCCCTTGCTAATACCATATGTCCTCCTTGGAGGCGAGCGTCCGACCCGAGGATATAGTATACCCATCTTGTGGTACATCGTTTCCCGAACGGCGTGGCCAGAAAGCGCCCGTCACGACGCATACACTATAGGACTTCTCGGTGCGCGCGTCGCCCGCCCCTGTGGGGGGCGACGCGCATATAGTTGGGGTGACGCCGAGCATCGTGAACGAGGCAGCGCAGATCACGAGCGGCGAACATGCGCGATCCCGCGGCTGCGCGGGATCGCACGGCCAGGTCACGCGCGGGGCAGCCGTGAAACAAAACACGCGCCCCGCACATCCGCGGGGTCTCGCGGCCTCGGGGCCTGGCCCCCGCGGGGCCGCGGAGGCCGCGGATGCAGTAGGACGGTCGAGGCGTTTACCTAAGGAACCCGAAATGAGGAAGGAGGCCCCTTTTGTCCATAGGTTGCACTTCGACTTCCCATGGAAAACCTCGGGAAAGCGAAACAACGAGGAGCACCGAGCCCCTCCCCAACGAAAAGGGTTCCTTCTTCGGCGCCCCGACTGTAGGACAGGAGGTGGACCACAGGAAACCTTCCACGCGAAACCGAACCCTGAGACCCTGGAGCGTCCATCGAATTTTGGTGTGGGAGCGTCTTGCTTCCGATCGCAAAAAAAAACCTCGAAACCCAAACAACCCAGGGCACCCTTGAAGCAAGGGGTGCTTCTTGGCATGGGCCTCCACTGTATGCTGGTAGCCCACGAACAGACCGCGAGTGTCCACGACCCGCGGAGGAGCTCCGCTCGAGACGGGCAACGCGGCGCGAAAGACTCGGAGCGGTCTCATGCTCAGCGTCACCGCCACCGTCGTCGTGAGCGAGGGCAGCCAGGAGGGGGCGATGAGACCGAGGCGCTGGGACAAGGACCATTACCAATATGGCCAGGCTCCAGGTGCCCATCGCTGGGAAAGTGAAACAATTACCAGTGCTGGCCAGCTTCCACGTGCCCCTCTCGGGCACCGAGCGTTGGTGCACATGGCCGCCTCTGGAAGCCCGAATCCAGAACTACAGACGACACACTCTTACATCCGCCGCATTCCGCCGACGTTCCACCGGCGGGGCCACCCTCGATTGACTTCCCCAGTACTCCGAAGTCGCGTTTTTTTCACAACGTGGACCCCAATAGGTCTATGACAAATAATCCAGACGATTCGAAAATAGCCCAAACTAGTCCCAACATCGCTCCCAGACAATCTTTTGACTATGTTTAAGTACTCCTCCTGTAGAGGGACGTGCCCGACTTAATGAAGGTCCCGGGGTCCGTGGAAGGCCTTGGAAACCTTGGGGCCCGTTTCCCTCAGGACCTGCTTCCGCCACGCCAACGTATTACTTCACAGCAAGGATGTGTGAATGTTCACTTCCGCTGGCCTCCCCTCGGCCCCTCCGACGGAAGCGAGATGGGCCGACTGGCGGGGCCCTCCCTGGAGCGCCACCTCATGCCCGTCCGGCCCCCTCGATGGGGTGCCAAGCAACATCCGCCGAGGTCTGGCCCCGAGCCCCAGGCAAGGGCCCGTGGAGACCCCCCCGTGGCGCTGGTCCGCCCCCCCCCTCCTCCTCCTCCTCCTCCTCCTCCTCCTCCTCCTCCTCCTCCTCCTCCTCCTCCTCCTCCTACTTCCCCTCCTTTTTCTTCCTCCTCCTCCTCCTCCTCCTCCTCCTCCTCCTTCTTTCTTTGCCAAGTCATGAGGCGCACAGCTGTGACGTTCAAGGAGAGGGGTGGGACGATGGAGGGTGGCGGCAATAAGAAATGGCACGATCGTCGCAACAAAACAAAAGGGGGCAGGGTTGAAATGGCCTGAGGCAGGGCCCTGCCCCTTCGCGTGGGGCAGATCGGGGCAACTTGGACCCCTCAACAGAGCAAGGCGGGCGCAAGGCCAGAGTGCCAGCACTGTCCGAGGGAGCTCCGAGCCTCGCCCACGCTCTCTGCCCCAGCTGGGCAGAAATGCGCAGGCCTCCATGGCCTCTCGTCCACCGCCGACCCCCCTGCCCCGCTCAAGCCACAGAGCCGAATGGCCTTGAGCATGGGGGGGAGGGCGGCAGGGCGAGCAGGCACGAAACATCGGTTATATGGGAACAGACATACGGGGGGTGGGGGGGCGGCCAATCGGGACCAGCCAGGGACGATCCGAACAGAAACGATCAAATCTTCGGTAAAAACACAACGCAAGGTCGATGTTGGCCGCCCCCTTGCCCCCAAGTGTCTTGGGTGTGGCATGGTCCAACCTTTGGTTCAGGAGAGGTACGGGTCGAGGGTGGCACTAAAATGCCGCAGTCGTTCTGGGACGAAGTGTGCATCTTCGTGCTCCAGTGCCGTCTCTCCTTTCCGAGCCAGGGGGGACCAATGCTCTAGGATACTACTCGATATTTGCCTGCACAGGCGCTCTGGGTAGGCCTTACCGGGGGGAGACCTGTGCCCCCCCCTCGGTGTCCACGCCGAGAGCCACTCTCCGACGGCAGCTGGCACTGGCATGGTGTCAGCATCTGCCTCTCGTCGGGTGCGACTGGAGGGAGCGGCAGACCTCTGGGAGGTTACTACACATGAACTTAGTTGGCTGCCTGCTTGCCGCTCCGAAGCAGCAATGGTCTATGTTCACTGCCTCGACCCCTGGCATCTTCGCTGCTGCCTGTGCGTCGGGTAGGTACCAGGGGGAGGGCGCTGAAGGACACCACGATGCTGGGGCAGGGTGCTCGAATACCCCGCTAATGTTGGACAGGGCCGAGAGCAACAGGAAATAGACAGCTGCACGCAGGTGCGCATTGCCTACCTCAACCTGCGTTCGCTCGCGGCCAGAAAGATCCGGACATCCCCAAAGGAAAGCGCGGGAGCGAAAAGGGCGAGGCGGGGCTGCTTCCGAAGGTTGGGCGAGCATTCTAGCCAAGCTCCCAGTTTCGCTTGGCGGGCTTGCAAAGACTGCGACAAGATGTCCAGTGGCCAGGGCCCTCTCCCAAAAGACGATCGCGTCGTTGGCGATGAGGTCGCCCAACGTCGGATCGTTGGTGATATATATATATTATATATATATAATATATATATATATATATATATATATATAAAAGAGAGAGAAAAAAAAACATCGCTCGCCAGAGAGGCTTTCGAACACATCCTGAAGGCCCCCGCGGTGTCGCTGACCGCTGAAGAGGTGCAAGATCAGATGGCACCGAAACCTGTTACAATCGGGCGCGGGGAAATATATGCATAAACTGGCGGCGGAGGCGGTGACGCAGGCGCGGAAAAAAAGGCTCGAGATCAAAGGGGGCCTCGTTCAGTGCTGGGCGAAGACCCAATCAGCGCTGGGCGAAGGGACTTCAGCTCTCGATACACTTGGCTCCTCATGCTGCGGGCTGTCTCGGGGCCCATCTGCCCGCTGTGGGACGCCTCGTCGCGGTCCGCGAGCTCGCCGTTCATCGCGATCTCCACGGGCCAGTGCCTGCAATTCTGGCGAAGGTGTCGGACCAGCTGCCCACGCGTAGAGAAATCTGCCCCGCAAGCTCGGCACGCCGTGCCGATGGCTGCCCTCTGCGCCACGTCGATCGGGTCGTGTGCAGTTGCGCGGAGGGTCTTCCAAGCAGCCGCTGAGATCCCCCCCCCCCCACACACTCATAACACATGTACTGCATATTGTCCGTTATCGGTTCCTTTGGCAGTATCCCCGCCCGTCGCTGCAGCTCGGAATTTGTTGTTTGCCATTCGGTAACGCGAGAATGCTTTGCAGTGTGGGCTTTGGTCCTCTCTAGACTTGCTGAACAGCGCATCAGGACATCCCTGGAGCACTCGCGAGCGTAAGCAAACCATTGTCGGCATCCTCTGCGTGATTCGTAGTCGTAATTGGTGAAGGGGCCCACCCAGTCGAAACCCGCCGCCATCGCGATAGCCCACGTCCGTGCACTGCCAGGGTTGGGATATACCTCGTCCAGGCATTGTCGCAGAACTG